CCGACCAAATAAAAGAGGATGGAAATTTTAAGTTCTATACAGCAATGAGGATGGCCACCGATAGAAATCAGTGGAGGCAGATTGTACATCACCTTACAACCTTGTCAACATAGAGATCACGTTCTTCAGTCATGAAGCGCCGACTAGATTGATCGATATATATATATTGTATAATATCTTCTAAGAAGCAGCGCCTGCAACAAAGCTAAGATCAAATGTGTAGTTTTCTGCAAGAGAATTGAAAATCTGTACAAGCTTTATACAGATTAACAATTCTCTATAGAAATAATAATTATAACTGTTTGTTTTTTGGTTAACTTTCACTTTTCACTTTTCACTAAGCACTATTCACTAAATACTGAACACTAAACACTTTTCTATTCACTTTTTTTAACGTCTTATATTTAACAGTAGCACTGCTCTGACTTTTTACTTTAAATACCTTGAATTCACTACTGCCACGTTTACCGCCAATTTTGGTCGTTGGGGCCTTTAAATGACAGAGAGCACTATAGAAAAGTAAAGAGAGCAAGTGCGATAGAAATATCTGTTACGTGATTGGTTACACCCTAAGCTCGCGCATGTGCAGTTCAATTTTGTACACGCAGAATCGCGAGAGTTGCGCTACTGTATATACCGTGCCGCGGCTTCGGCGATACGCCTGTCCTCGGTCGGCGCTTACGATCCGCGCGACCAATAGCGCTTCGCCTCGTTGCGAGAAGCGACTGATTGCAGAAAAACAATCAGCCGCGTTAAAAATTCCACCGAAATCCTTCTCGAAGACTCGAACAAACAACTCAAGTAAACAGGAAGCGCCTTCGGTTACCTCAGCAATTCGAGCCTTCGAGAAGGAGAGCTCGGCCTACTGTGGGAGAGCGGGAAGCGTCCGCACTTACTTTTCCGTCACGTTGTCTCGCGTACGGTCGCTCGACTTGCCTTCGTCGAGGACCTCGCCGTGAACCGATCGTCGTCCCGCCGTCGCGGACTTCGAAAAATTTGCCCGCGTCTTACTTCAAAATTAATCGCATGTTATTTTGTTTTGTAATTCGTTTTATTTGTAAAATAAATTAATTATTGGAAGCTTTCTCTCGATTTTCTTCGCGACCCGACCAAACAGCGCTTTACGCTCCCGCGATAAGTCCGCTCGCGAACAAATTTCTAATATAATTTTTTCTAATATAATACTTTCTAATATAATAATTTAACAATTTATTAGATAAACACATTATATTATTATATTATATTAAAAAGATAATTAGAAAAATTAATATCTGGTTTCTCAATAAAATAAAAATATGCATTTAACGTTACTAGCGTGCGTATTAGTAAATTCTCTTAGATAACGTGTGTATATATATTTATAATATCTTTTAATATAAAAATATAATAATATTCACAATTTAGAATTATTTGATAAGATATGTGTATATAATCCATATATTCTCCTTTCTACAAGATCTTCTTTCTACAAGAAAGTTCTTCGTATATTGTGATATGGTAATTTGTGCAATTTAAAAAAATATTTCAATAAATTTATATTTTAGGATATTATTTTGACATATTAATTTTTGCAATTATAACTTTCGGGATGGTGTCCCAGTTTTTTAATTTCGCTATTATGTAATTTCTAGGAC